TTATTAATTAATTTGTTATATATATATATAATACATACAGAAAAATAGATTTTTTAAATAAATAAATTAGATAAATTACAGTACAAATACATACTTCAGAATTGCTTTGATTAAAAAGAAAAAAATCTGTTCCATGGAAAAACACACATTTATGTATATGGATGAATAAATAATGACAAAAAGTTTCAAATGAGGATATGCCCCTTCTCTTCCTTCACCTCTCACATATACGTTTACCCTCGTTTACCGTGTTAACATTGTGGCCAATCCTATTACAGCTCCTTCCCATGAAGCTCCGCTGATAGGGTCGTGGTATTAATCTCCATTACCCATCAACCCCAGCCACGGAGCACTCCGCTGTCACTGCCGCTTTGAAGTCCAGAAGCTGAGTCGATAAGGGGATTAAACTTTGAAGAACCACTTTATGCTCGGTCCAGCTCAGCTACAGCACGCCCCCTCTCCCTTCCTAAATAAAAGCATCCCTCCATCCCACGTCCACGACCTATAAAAGCAGCCTCCTCACAGTGACTCTCTTCTGGACTCAGTCTGCCCTTCTTGCTTTTAAAAAGGAGACAGACCCAGGCCACAACGCCACAGGTTTAGAAAGACTCTGATCCATAGAGAGATTCTGCAAAACCTTTAGATCGCAGCGAGAGTTTTAATATAGGCAAATTGTTAACATTTAAGTAAACTGAGTGAATATGAAACAGGACCACAGACCTCAGCACATCTGATAAAATGGGATGTGTGTACCCAGTGTTTCAGTTTGCACTAGAATGTCACACGTGTCACACACGAACACAATCCTCAAAGGGCCATGAATTGTTAAAATAAATACAGTGGGTGTTTCTTCAACCTTGGGCACTTTCCTAAAGTCCTGAATGTTTCCACTACATCTACAATGATGCACAGGGTTTAGCAGAATTAAGCGATTAAAAAAAAAAAAAAATTGGCCGATTCATTTGTCTTGCTAATGTAGCTAGCATTTTATGTATTCTACATACACATGATTAATCACATTTTCACACTTTAATTTGACAAACTTGTGGGATTGTTAGAAATTACATAGTTTACTTATCACATGTCTCAAATGTCTCAAAGTAAAAACCCCATTTCTTTTCTCCATAGGGAAATTGTTTTAACTTATAAACCTTTAAAGACAGGCCTATTGTCTTGTTAACCAATTGTATATGCTTTTGTTAAAGCCATCAGTTCACATTGTTTCAACTTATTTGATAAATAATCGTGTTTAACGGCAGAATTCCAGGTGAAAAACTAAATTACCAATGATTACAAAAAAAGACCTCCACCAATAAAGCTGTGTCCACCAAAGCATTTTTAGCCAGCTGAAAATGCCAGGCGCTCTACTGAAAATTCCCAGCTGTGAGTGCTTGAGAGCGATTCTACAGCCCCGTTCACACCAAGGATGATAACTATAAAGATAACAATAAAGATATAGTTCTAAAAATCATTCTCAGTATTAAAGAATAGTCGAGTCCACACCACAACTATAACGATAAAGGCACAGAGAAACGATATCGTTAGAATCACTTTCAGAATTATTTTTTCCAGCTGATGAATGATAAAAACATTGACACCCAATAAGAATCCATCCTAATATAACGTGCTGGAGAATTTAAAGGTGCTGTATGTAGGATTGACACCGAGTGGTTGAACTAGGTATTGCAGTCCAAATTCAAAATATAGGAGAGGGTTTTTTCACCCGGCCCCTCCTCCTCAGACTTGACGCACATGCAGGTTGCCAGATTGACGACACCAACAGGAATGACCGCACTTGACGATGAATGAAATGAAATAAGTTGTGTTTTCCGCCAACTGGCAACCCGGGGTGCCGAAATCCAAGGGGGTAAACTGGCAGTGGGCGGGTTTCACAAGCCAAAACAGAGACCGACATTCCGGCCCGGAACGCACATTTTGAAAGGAAAAATAACTGACTGTAGCATTGTTTTTCAGATAAACAAGTATGTTAGCTTAGCATGTTTCTTAAATATCTGCAAACATATTATGGTATTTTTATGCTTTAGTAAAGTCAAAAACTTACATACAGCACCTTTAAAGTGGCAGACGAGCGTGTGCATAGAATAAACAGATTAAATTGTCCGCTGGTGTGGACGCTAATATCTTTATCTTTATAGTTATCGTTCTTGGTGTGAACGGGGCTTAAGACGCAGAGGTTTTTTTTTTCAGTTGAGATGCTTTGGCTGTTATTATACGGAATTTCTGTGTAGTGTAACTGATTCTGGATCTGATTTAGCAGATAGTTTATTTATGAATATAAAGTACTTGCTCTGGACCTTGTTTTAAATGGTTTTGTTGTTGTTGTTGTGCTTCTTGTTGTCGTCTTTTGCTGTTGTACAAGGAGGATGTGGCAGTTGGTCGTGTGTAATTTGTCCCGCCCATCCTCTACTGTGATTGGACGGCTGAAAAGTGACAATGAGTGCTGCATTGTTCCCAAAATTGAACATTCTTCAACTCTCTGTGCCAAAAAAAAATAATCGCTGAGCGCACAATGCTAAGTGGGAAGAAAATTCTCAGCGCCTCGTCACGCTCATGCCGTTTTAAAAAACGCAGCGCTTCCATTGAAAACAATTAATTTAAAAAATACGCTAGTTTTCTTTGTTTAGAATGTCATAATCATTCGCATTTTTTGTAATGGATTTTCTTTTCTTTCTTACTTTTTCTTTCTTTCTTTCTTTCTTTCTTTCTTTCTTTCTTTCTTTCTTTCTTTCTTTCTTTCTTTCTTTCTTTCTTTCTTTCTTTCTTTCTTTCTTTCTTTCTTTCTTTCTTTCTTTCTTTCTTTCTTTCTTTCTTTTTCTTTCTTTTTCTTTCTTTCTTTCTTTCTTTCTTGTACATAATAAGTGCATTGTACCAAGTGATTAATTTAAATGTAAGCACATAGTAGTTAAGGTTACTAAGGACATTTTTTTTGTAAAAATGTAAGACGCTTCCAAAACAGCTTTAATTTTGTTTTTGTAAAAATGTAAGACGTTTTCAAAACAGCTTTAATGTGACAAAAAAACAAAAAAGTTGTGTGAATTTGAAGAAACACCTGTGTTTTTGATTTGCACTAGATTTGAACACACATCAGCGATACCTCTTAAGTTATATTCATTAGATGCATTGCACTTTGATCTGTTGAACACAACAAAATAGAAACCAAGCAACTGGAAATAAAAGTTATTTTGCTTTGCTTTATGAAGTCAAGCACAGTTAGGACACAGTGTTGCTGTCCAAGTGATTTGTAATGCCTTATCTCTGAAAAAGGGCTACATTGTATTCTACCGTTTTCTCGAGGAAACTGGACATGAAATATGTCCATCTGCTTTTACAGTGATGTGGCTTCACATCACACATCCAATACTGGCATGTTCCTGTCTGGTCAGAATGTCTGAGTCGCCCATCACTCTTTCTTTGAGCTCAGGTGCCACTATTTCTACAGAGCAGCACGCTCTGATCTGGAGCGTCAGCGCACACACATGTGCCTCACCTTGCACCGGGAAGACAAAAATAGACCATCCCTACATGCACCAAGAGGACATGAAGTAGCCTATGGACTTCTGATGTCTCCACACATTAATCTTCGTTTTAACTCTGAGTCACCAAAACGGAGAGATGCAACCACATCAGACCTGCGGGGGGAACACTCCACTGCATCAACCCTCCCTGGACCGGTCTCCATCCCCACTGCCATCCTTTCCTTCATTATTATTAATGTCTCTTGTCAGAAGTACTTAAGAAATGCAGTTTAAGAGCAATCGAGTTTGGCCACCTGTGCTAAGTTCACACGCTGTGTCCTTATCGGACTTCAGCGCCTCAAAATGGAGGATGTCCAACTGTATTAGAAATTCCATTAAGTTGGTGTCAATTTGGTTGGCCTGTATGTCATCCTATTAGGGGATTCGTATAGATAGTGGCCTGTTACGTTGGAGGAGAACAAAAGGGATTTACGTGGTAAAGACCTCACATTACCGCTAAACGGTACACTCGAAGCTTGAGGAGCTAGAGAATGTTGAACTCTGAGGAGGTACAACAAATTAATAGTTTTTTTGTAATTCTACTGTTCAAATGTTGAAGGAATAGCTCAGATTAGATATTATTTAAGCACCAGAATGGGTCAAATCAAATGTTGTATAAAATAAATGAAAAAATACTACTACAGTCAGGAATTTTATGTTAGCATGTGTGTTGATTTAACAGTATGTAATTTTTTCATTATGCCATACATGCAACATGCAAGTGTTATTTTTGTAATTGTTAAAATTATATTTTGTTCATTATACTGAATGTTACACAAAATGACTTTACATGACACAATATAATAACAGAATGAGAATTTATTTTATTTAAAATTAGCCTTTTAATCTTAATTTTATTCATATCAATTTTATATTCTGTTCTATTTATCTAAGTGTACATATTTTTTAAAATTATTAATATATGCTGTTTGCTTATTTGCTTTGTTTTGTTTTGTGTTGTGTTTTGCTGTCTTGTTTTGTTTTGCTTTTTTGTTTTGTGTTGTGTTGTGTTTTGCTGTCTTGTATTATTTTGTTTTGTTGTGTTGTGTTGTGTTTTGTTTTGTTGTTGTGTTTAGCTTAGTTTAATTTAGTTTGTTTTGTTTCATTTTGTTTTGTTTGAGTTTCTGGCTCTTTTCCAGAAAAGAGAAAGCTCCTTACTGCCTAGTAGTAACTGCCATTTAAGGCAGCTTGTTACTAAGCTAACAATGTAATACTCATAATAAATATAAATAAAAATAAAATTTTCTCTAAACGTGTCATGATTATGTCTCTGTAGAATTGAGTTTGAGCATATCTAAAAGGTCTTTTCACTTTTTAATTCTTTCACTTGCTTCATCTGCATCTCTGTCTTTTCTCAGGAGTGCTTCCAGTTCATCCTGCCTGCTCTGCCGCATGCCATTGACCTGCTGCGGGATGCCATAGTGAAGGTGAAGGA